ACCATTTTAAAAAAATTTTAGATTCAAAACCTTTCTTCCTGAATAATGAATGGAATGCCTCCTAACAATTGCTTAATTACATCCTCAACAATGCCTTTGACAACCTCACACTATCTATTTCAGATTTAGAAATGGAGGAAACTTTTACTAATCTGCTTAAGTGAAAGGCATTTAGACTTACTCTCATCCCATATAAAGCCTGGACCCATATCAGTATAAAAGCGAAAAAACACCTAAAAACTCTGTTTAATAGCTCGCTATCATTAAGTCAAGTTCCTAAATTTTGGAAGCAATTGCAATTAGCTTGTTACCAAAAAAAATTGTTTGGTCACATGACTTTATAGACACATGCCCAATTTCACTTATCGAAACAAGTAGGAAAATCTTCACAAAAATTATCAATAACAGACTTGTCACCAATATTCTAAAGTATAAGGCCATTTCAGAATCTACTTATGCTGGCCTGAAAAACCAGAGCACCACAGAGCCAATTGCAGTAATTACCTCAAGTATCAATACAGCAAATAACCTTAACAAAAAAATTTGAGTGGCATTATTTGACATCTCCAAAGTCTTCAATTTTATAAACCTCCCAAGTCTAAAAAAAACCTTAGAACAAATAAAAATCCCAACAAAAACCACCACACTCATGCTTGACTTACTAAAAGAAAGAAAACTAAAAATAATAACATACTATAATCTCTCCAACCCTCTTATAGTCAGTAGAGGATTCGACCAAGGCAAAACACTATTTTCTCTATTTTGAACTATCTTTTATGACCCTATGGTCACAAGGATAACCACAGAATATTTAGCATCCTTCAAAATCCTTGCTCACATGAATGATGTCACTCTTACTAGCTCAAGTATATAACATCTACAAGGCACAACAAATATCTTCTGCTCCTTCCTGTCTACCAACTCCATCAAGTGCAACAAAAAGAAAACAGAATTAATTACTAATCTCAAAACAAAAAATCAAAAAAGAAATCAGTTTCTTATTGTTGAGGGGAAAAGAATTCATTCCAGTCCATATGAAGAAAGCATTAGATATCTAGGCATATACTTGTTAAGAAAATCTTCATCTACTGTTACAAAAAGCAAACTTTCAGAAAAAATCTATAAATTCACCAATGCCATAGCCTCACAAAAAAGGTGAAATGGATTGATAACTAGACAAGCCTCTTACTAAATCATACCAGCACAATTTGAATATACTATCAATGCAGCAGTCCCTTTGGATAGAGAGATAATTACTCTCCAGAGGAAAATAAACAAACCAATTAAAGCAAAACTTGGAGTCGAGCACACCATCTCTAACAAAATCTTATACTCATATGCCAGTCTCAATACAGTCAATCTTCAAAATTGTTATGACCTAACTACTATAAAAATCCTCACTATCAAACTTATCAACAGTAAAATTCTCCTATTTATTTTAAAAGAGATCATATTGATACAGGCTGCACAAACTATCTGGTGTTACCCAATTTGCTTTCTCTACTACTTTGAGAAGTTATGACTCATTTCTGTTACCATATTAGTTAAAAGATACAAAATTCGAATCTGCCCATTTCCATGCCCCTTTAACTTAAATAACCATGAGTACTCAATAGGATTAATTAACAGACTTGAGAAATCTGTCGCTCTCTCTCTATTTTATACCAACATTAAAACTGTTCACAATACTTATGTTCACAAGCATAACACTAAACTAATATGAAAAGAATTATACACATACAGAAGTTATATAGTTACTGGTCCAATTCCTAATTGGTTTTTCTCCATCCCAAATACTTCTTAAACAATCAAAGGTGACTCAACCTTTCTCTTTAGAAGACATAATATCAAATTCTGAACCTTTATACTTAACAGCTCTATTAATCTTCTTAAAGTCTGAATAAATGCCATTTTATCAACAACCATCAGGGATCAGCATCATTTATTGAATAACAAGAAAATAATTCCATGCTCATGTCCACTACAATCATGCTTCAAAGAAATAAACATTACTAATTTTAAATTCATCTGGTATACCAAATGTGCAAACTAAGATATTCTGCTCAACAATATTCAAGAACTCCTGGACTTTTTTTTAACCATACCACAAATACATCCACAAGTAATTATTTCACCTCCACCATTAACCAACCAATCTATCAATATATTTCTTTAATACAGGAAAGTTGAAAACACTTTTTTAGTTTCCAAACCTATCAGAACCCTATTCTACTCCCTACATCCTAACTTCTGAAGTATTTTTTGGACATTATTTCTTCAAACTATCACTGACTCTCCATTTTCATCAACACTCAAAATTTATCTTAACAAAATTCCTGATTTAAGAACTTCAGATTATTCAAACAGATTAGTCAAAATTCCTTATAGCAGACTTATTACTGGATGCAATAATCTTATAACAGTGAAAAATATTAATATTGTATGGCTCAAACTAAAAGATCATCAATCACTGCCTATAACCTCTTCTATAATCAATTTATTAATTCCTCAATGCTTCCCATTCACATTCACAATATTACCTTTTATTAACAATATACACGTTACAAGTATCACTCACTGGATAAAATTCATAAACTATTATACTAATTTATTCAACACACTTCTCAGTCGCTTAACTACCTACAAACCTATATCTCTGGAGAAATTGGAAACTATCACCAAAGCAAATAACAAACTTAGAGCTTCCGACCAAATAAAATATAGAGCATTGTAAACATTCAGAAAAAAACTCTTTGCAAACTAGCTTCCAATCAGAATCAAACTTTACAAATGCTATTCGAGTTTATATTTTGACAACCTGTGCCTAAGATGCAATGCCTTTTCTGAAAAATTGCCATATATTGTTTTTTGTATTTACAACAAATCTCTAATTAATAAAGAGAAAACCAAACTCAAAAATCTCATTCTAAATCTAAATCCCAAAAGTATTAAAGTTATTGACTTTGTGAGACATTCAAACTAACAGACAATAACCTATTAAATCTATCCATTGGCAAATTCAATCCTTCATTTAATCTTCTTCAAAAAAAAAAGTTATCTCTAATTATACTCTTAAAATCTTATATAAAGCCTGGAAATTATGATCTGCTATCACAACCACATCACTATCATCAGGTATAAAATGGAAAAAAACTTTATCTACAAAGCTACCAAACTCAGATCCAAATGACAACACATTATTTAACACAATTTTAGATTTACTTTACACTTCATACAATTTTACTGACAAGTTAATTTTCATTTCAACAGTAATATTATCGTTCTGAATAGGCATTAACTATTCAGCACTATTGTTGCAAGCCTACTTCCATAGTGATACCTGGTCTTAATAGTTTTGTTATAATAGGCTACAATTAATTTACTATATAAAAATTATTAATGTAATGACAATAAATACTTTTATTTAAATAAAGTTTTGTATTTAATGCTTGTTTGCGATAAGAAAAAATAATTAGAATATCATTTGACTAGCTTTAAATACAAATAATAAAATATATTATTTTCTTTATACTAATTACAATATATTGTTACTTGGTAATTCTATAACAATTAGTATTATAAGAACTGTCTTTCTTATATAATTATATATATGCAAACCATTTTTATATAAAAATTGTATATTTTTATTATCTAAATTTTATTAATAAAATTATTATAAGTTTTTTAATAACAAGAAAATTCTTTTAAATGCAATTAACAATATAACTATAATATAATTAAAAAATTTTTATAGTGATAAGTAGAATGCTTTTATTAGTAAAATTAAAAATAAAACGAAGTTCAGCCTATATTAATTATAAATAATTTATATAATTTATTAATGAAATATTTTGTATTTATTATGAACTTAATTTTAAGTTATATAGTTAAGATAAACTGAATTTAGCTACATCTTTAAATTGTGTTTTACACTTTGATATAGTTATTTTAAAAAAGTCAGACCTTTGGAAATTATAAAATTATAAAATTACTTAGTTTAGTCTGTAAAGATGTTTGATGTAATGACAGTACTATTAATTTAGTAAATAAAGTCCCGCATCTAATGCCCTTAGCCAACTTAAAAAAAAAAAAATTATAAAATTACTTTTGATACGTTTTATATTTTTATTAACAAAAGTCAGTTCAAAACAAATGTGTTTTTTTAATTAAAACATCTAATGATAAAAACTAAGTTACAATTATAACAAATGCGCGTGATTTCTTTAGTTATAATATTTAATAATTATAAAAATTGTCTTAAAATGGTTTAACATTAAAACTACAATAATAACTTTTAATAAAATTTACAATTAATATGATAAAAAACTTCTTCACACAATTACAGTTTTTTAATTTTTTATTATCAATGCCAATTCACGATAAATGCTTATCTTTAGTCAAAACATATATAGCAAAACAAAGAAAAAATTTCTATTAAAAAATAATGCAATCAATGATATGAAAGTATCCTTTGCAATTAATTAAAGTTTTCAAACTGTAACTTCTTTTGGCTATATCGCGCCGAGTGTTGGCTACAAAAATTGCTAGTAATTTACTAGTAAAGACATACCAATCTTGCTTTTATGCATAAAATCTAACCTTAATAGTATTATTATTGATTCTTATATCATTTTTCCTAATTAGTATTTGCAATATCCAAATGCAACTCCTAAATCTGTCGATTTCAAATCAATTATCCGCATATAGTACATGTGTACATATTGTTCTTCCATAATGTGCTGCACGTGTAACTTTCAAAGTGCTACTGTATATACGTAGTACATATGTACATATTGTTCTTCCATAATGTGATGCACGTGTAAACTTACAAAGTGCTACTACCGTATACGCGTACATATGCGCATTTCCAAGAATGATTCACGATAATTACGGGAAAATCCGTTATTCCGTATATAATACAGTATCCAGAAACATATATATCTCCTTTCCAGACATCAGTTAAATGAAAGATGTTTTCAATCTTTGGATGTCCTGTCAAGATTCACTGCAATCCGGAAACGGTTAATATCGACGTCCGGCACGCAGAAAGCAATGAAGTGAAAAAGATTCAACTTTTCGAGTACCTTTCATCAAAATGTCCTTCGCTTGTTGGTGAACATGCAAGATACTATCCAACCCCGTGGATCGGTAATGGTCACGCTCAAACCTTGTACGCGTCGTATGCGAATTTCGAAGGAATTCATTTGATCAATTACGAAAGGCATTTATTTTTGAATAAAATTATTATCGGCCTCTAGTATAAGTTAAAGGATACACCTTATACATTATAGATTTTTTTTTATTTATTTATTTTAAACTTTAGAAAGCTTGTTAAAACGCCGGATGGAGGTCAAATTGCTGTCGACTGGACACCTCCGATGTCTCAAAAGCCCATTGACGATACGCCAACAGTAGTTGTATTACATGGACTAACAGGAGGTAGCTTCATTCCGTTCCGTTCATGCCTAAACTGGTATTTTTACAGTATCGAGTCAATTAACTTTTCGAACAATTCCCGCAACCAAAGGAAGCCACGAGTCGTATATTCGATGTTTACTTGAAGTTCTCACAAATCCACCTCACAACTATCGGGCGGTTGTAATCAATTTTCGTGGATGCTCTGAATCTCATATTACTTCACCAAAGCTTTACTCGGCTGCGTCCACTAATGACTTGAGAACAGTTTTACGCTATATCCAAGAAATTATTCCGGATTCATCATTGATCGCAATCGGTTTTAGCATGGGCGCAAACATTCTGGTTAAGGTAACAAAATTTTTTGAAATTTGGATAAAAATCACTATTGTCTTCTTGAATAAATCTCGTGATTTAGTATCTCGGAGAGGAAGGAGATAAGACACCGTTGATCGCAGCTGCATCGGTCGGTAACCCTTTTGATATTTTAGGGTATGTGTTTTTTTGGATCCAAGT